TGTGCTACTGGTGTTATGTTTAGGAAGCAGTCTCCTGTACCAATTCATTTGAGGTTACCTCCTGCTTCAAGCCCTCTGAGTATGTGTGCCAGCTAGGAGGCCAAGACAGTCTATGGGACCTCCCTAGAGCCCATTCCCTATGGAGGGTTACTATTGCAGCCCAGATATAGCAAGGAGGGCCTAGGCCCTCCCTCAAATGATATGATGGACTTTGACGGTCCCCCATGGAGGGCCTCACTATCCCTGGAGAGGGGTGGGTGGGTTGGGGGGTTTGGTGGGGAACATGGGAGGATGGGAGGGTGAGGGAATGGGGAATGGATATGTAAATATGAGTGCCTCTAAAATAAAAAAATAATTAAAAAAAGATAATGAAGAATAACAAAGTGAAGATGAAAGAAAAACTTTTCAGACATATAAAAGCTGAAAGAACTCATGACCAGACCAGCAAATGCAAGAAACACTAAAGGGCGTTCTTGGAGCAAAAGGAGGATGCTAGCAGATGGAGGAGAGGCTGTTGAAAGGAAAGAGGTGTACTGGAAAGAGTAACTGAGGATTCTTGTGTTTTCAAACGTCTCTTCAAAAGATAATTGACAGTCCAAAGCAACAATACTCATGAAAAAGATAAGCACAGCCTCAGGGTTGGAAGAGAAGAGATGGGAATAGATTTTTAAAGTTCTAACACCAGGCACTGAGAGGCTCAGCAGTTAAAGGCACCTGCCACCAAGCCTGATGACCTGAGTTCTTTGATCCTCAGAACCCACATGTGGCACAAACACATACACATAATAAGTAATGAGCTACATCCCAGACAGAGGCACACATCAGCCTTGTCAGATGGCTCCAATGAGCCAACTGTAAATGTGAAGACGTGAAAAGGGAAAGCAGGAAGCTTGCTGTCCCATGCTGACAGCATTCAGTATTGGGCCAAATATTTCAGAGTGTGTTAGTCAACTCAGGTCCTAAATCTCCACCACCCCAATAATGCTGTCAAGTTACAATTCACCAGCAGATTGACCAGTTGTATATATCTGAGCTTTCATAGTCCTGTCACCTCTCAGACATTGGTTCTACCATCTGGGGAATCAAGCTTCCAACACATGATCCTCTGGGGACACCTTATATCCAAACTGTCACACAAAGTAAAGGGTATTACTGGGGACAGAGTCTCATCTAATAGTGGTAAAGTGGTCAACTGGTTAAAAGGAGAAAGTCCTATTGGCTATTTATGCTATGATGAAGCTTTAAAGGGCATGCAAAAACTGATAGAAAAAGACAAAACAGGTAAGTCTGAGCTGGGGATGTTGCCCAGCTGGCACAGTGCTTATTCAGCACGCATGAAGCCCTGGGTTCCATCCCTAGTACTTCATATATCAGGCATGGTGGTGCGTGATTGCCAGCCCACCTTCAGGAGGAGGAAGCAGGAGGATCAGGACTTCAGGGTCCTTCTCTGCTACATATTGAGTCCAAGATCAGCCTGGGCCACATGAGATCCTACCTCAAAGGGAAGGGAATGCATAATGTATGATCACATTTATATAAAATTATAGAGTGTCGAGTATCGTGGTAGAAAACAGAGCATCCTCTGGGAATGGGGAGAGGGAGTCAGGGAAGTTGGGTGTCACGAATGTGTTCACTGTCTTGAGGTGATGTTTCCCAGGTGTGGATACACGCCCATAGTGAGCTTGCTGTACATCAGTGACACCTTACTAAATGATCACATGTGTTTGTGTATGCGTACACTTGTGTACACTCATCCATGGAAACCATAAACTCACACGCTTCTCCTCCCTCAGAGCCTCTACAGAAGCCCAAGTGCAATCACAAGCCATGACTCTGATGTCCACTTCAGCAGCACCAAGTCGTCATCTGATAAGACAATTTTGCCTGATGGTAAAATCAGGAAATCAGAGGTTAGTATTTACAGTTTACCATGTCCTGACTTCATGGTTGTAGTCAGTGACTACCCTGTGGCCATTATGTGAAGAGAACCCTTCTGTGTTTGAGGACAACCCTGGACAGTAATTCCATCTCCTGCTGACCTCACAGGCTGGTGTTGAGTGGAAGGGGGAGCAAGTGAATAGCAGCAGCCCTCATTCTCAAGGCCCTGCCAGGTGCCCAACACTTTGTAAAGGTCAACTCAGTTAGAAGCCTCCGATGAACTTCAGGCCTTGTTGTTACTTCTAGGAGCAAAAAGGATACATCCTTGTCATGGTCACATACTCAGCAAGCAGTGGAGCTGGGGGCTTGTGCCTAGGCAGTTTGATTCTAGAATCTGTACCTGTCATTGTGAACTATACTCTTTCATTCTGCAAGAGTATGTGAAGGGTATGGCTAATTCAGAGTATGATGGGGTGGGAAGCCATTGGAGTAGCACATGTTTTAGCAGACTCTGGCTTCTCTGTTGACAAACCAGTGGGGTAGCTCTTGGAAGCATCATGCTTAGAGGATGGGAGGAGAGCTTAGGGCCAAGGGGCTTTGGAGTTAAAGGAAGGCAAAGGTGAGTCTGGGGGATTTGGCTTGAGCACCTGGGAGAAATAAAGAGTTACTATTTAGTTTAATGTTGAAGAGCAGAATCTTCAGGGATGAGATTGGAGGGCACAAGTTACAGCTTGATGTACATGCTTATGGACATGCTTCAAGTGCCTAGTAAAACATGTACATAGTGACAGCAGATAGCTGGGGACAAGGGTAAATTCCATATAGAAACAGAAGTATGTGTGCTACCACTTGTATGTGGTCATTAAAACTATGGGGACAGGGTGCTCAGCAGGGAAAGTACTGCAGCCAAGGCCCACCATGGTAGAAGGGGAGAACAATCCCTACAAGTTGTCTTCTGATCTTCACACATACACACTCACACAAACACGAACTTTCCAGTAGGTGCTAGAACTGAACTGTTATTCATTCCTTTAGTAATACAAATTGATTTGTCATTTGGTTGATTAGTTTGGTTGTCTTAAACACTTCACCTTTACTTATTTATATGTTGTTGTTTTTAAAATTTATTTTGTGGTGATGACAGTTGAACTCAAGCCTAGTCGTGCTAGTAAGCACTCTACCAGTGAGCTGTACCTTGTGGGGGTGGGTATGTGTGGGGTTTTTGTTTTTTGTTTTTTGTTTTTTGTTTTGTTTGTTTTTTTCTGAGAAGGTCTGGCCCAGAGTGGCCTCAAGTTCTCTATGTAAAAAGGATGGCTGTGGAGTCTTGATCTTTCTGTCTCTACCTCCCAAATGCTGAGAGTATGGGCATGTACCACCATACCTGTCCAAACTGAAAATTTTTAAATTTATTTTTATGTGTATGAGGGTTTTGCCTACATGTATGTTTGTACATGCTTGGTGCCTACAGAAACCAGAAGAGGGCATTAGAATCATAGGACTGAAATAATAGATGGTTATGAGTTGCCATGTGTATGCTGGGAATAAAGCCTGGGTCCTTTGAAAGAGTCACAAATGCTCTTATGTTTCTCCAGCCCTATTTGCAAATGCAGTATTTTTAAATTATGTATGTGCGTGCACATGTGATTGTGTGCACATATGAGTGTGTACACATGTGAGTGTGGATGTTCACAGAGGCCAAAAGAAGGCGGATGTCCTAGAGCTAACATGATGCTCAGAACTGAGTTCAGGTCCTCCGCAAGAGCAGCAAGTGCTCCTGACCACTGAGCCATCTCTCTGGCTCCCAACTACAATATTTTATTCAGTGGAAAAAATAAATCAAGTAGCTCCTTGTCCCTCACCATGTGATGCCCAGGCCATCTCAAGACTCTGCCAACAAGCAGGCATTGCTAGTTGGACCTTCATCTTGGGATAGAACCCAAGCTCAAATAAGATAGATCCTTTAGGGGGCTGGAGAGATGGCTCAGAGGTTAAGAGCACTGACTGCTCTTCCAGAGGACCTGAGTTCAATTCCCAGCAACCACATGGTGGCTCACAACCATCCATTATGAGATCTGGTGCCCTCTTCTGGTGTGCAGATATACAAGGAAACAGAATGTTGTATACATAATAAATAAATAAAGTCTTAAAAAAAGATAGATCCTTTATAGTTAAAATAAATAAATAAATGAAGTAGGTATATTGATGCACACTTTTAATTCCAGCACCTGGGAGCAGAGACGGGTAGATCTCTATGAGTTCAAGTGCATCCTGGTCTGCATTGACATTTCCAGGCCAGCTGGGGCTACACATTGAGACTTTACCTCAAAAAAATAATAATTAATTAATTAAAGTTAAATTAGCTCAACACAAAAACAAGAATAACTTCACCCTAGCCTGGGCTGTAGTATTGAGTTGGAGGCCAGCATTGGACTACATGGAGAAAACAAACAAATGAAACTAAAGCACTACAGCTGGGCACCTGTAAACCCAGCACTGAATGAGCCAAGGCAGAATACAAGTCTAGGGTTAGTCTGAGACACTGTTTCTAAACACAACAAAAGCGAAAGAGGAAGAGCCTCATTAACAATCCCTTGAGATTTACAACATAGAAGACTGGTTCTCCTTTACAAAGCTGCACAAAAACATTTTCCTTGTGTTTTTTAAAAAGCCCAAGCTCAAGAAGTCTCTAAGTGAGGACAAAAGCTCCAAAATGAACCTCAAACCTCAAGGAAGAGGGCTGGTGTTTATGTCTCCAAATGGTGAGTGTTCCAATGGAGAACCTTGGTGTTCATAAGCCATTGCTTCTAAGTTATATACAGTTATGGTCTATGGCGCTTCACAGCAAGTTTTGGTGTTGCAGGGCAGGGAGCAATACTCAGGATTGAACCTTGAGTTTCACATGAACTGGACAAGTACTCCAATACAAGCTACAGTGTCAGTCCTACGGTTCTGGTTCCACTGTCTCCCAGCCTCCTCAGGTCTGAGAAGCTCCCTCTTAGCACAGAGCTGCTTTTCTCTCTATCCATAGTTTCATCCTGTTCCCATTCTGAGACAGAGTCCAACTATGCAGCCCAGGCTGGCCTGGAATTCACTATGTAGACCAGGGTTGGCCTCAGACTCACAGAGAGCCACCTGCTTCTGCCTCCTGAGTGCTAGGATTAAGGGTGTGTACCACTATATCTTCCTGCACCCTCTTTTTAAATTCTATTTATTTATTTATTTACTTAATTATTTATTTATTGAGAATGGGTTTTGTGTACCCCACGCTGGCCTCTAACTTTATAGGTAGCTAAGGAAGATTTTGAATTTCTGATCCTTCCTGCCTCCATCTCTTAGGTTAATAGGCATATGTCACTATACCTGTTTTATGTAGCACTGGGGTTCAAACCCAGGGCTTTGTGCATGCTAGACAAGCACTCTTCATGGGCTTCCAGCCTCCTCTTCCTCCACTAGGCTCACCTAGCTCTACTATGTGAACACAGTACTAGTGATTTTCTTCCATTGTGTCATTGACCCACTCGGCTGCATCTAGCCTAGATCCCATGACACAACAGGCATGGGCTCCCTCCCTTCCTGACTGTACTCTATAGCAGGCTGTGCACCACACAGCTTTCTTAAGACTCTGTCCTCTTGGTATACAGCTTTGCATGGCTGTCCCTTCCTTGGCACTTTCTTCATTAATGGCTCATTCCCAGCAGTGTGCACACATGCATTCCCTGCTGTAACCATGAGGGTGCTCTGTTTTGTCCAGTAAGCATTTGCCCTAATCTCACCTGTCATTTCTGCACTTGCTAATGAAAGGCAGCAGTGTTTCTACCCCATGCCTCCCTTAGCTCACCATTGCTCAACACTGCTGGCTCTCACAGGTGGCTGTTCTGTGCCTCCACCAGTCCTGTGTTCAGGATGGAGCAGCCTCCAGAAACCTGCCTTCTAGGCATCACAGCCTCCTGTTTACTTTGCCTTTGGGGTGAATCAGAAAGGTCAGCAAGTGTTTCTCCTGTGGTGGCCAGCATCCTCTCTAAGGACTATACTTACTGAAAAACCTTTCCCAGACCAAGACATACAGTTCTGTAACAGAAAGAGTTCTAAAAGGAAACCCAATTAATGCTTTTTTTTTTTAATTCAAGTTAGGGAACAAGCTTGTTTCACATGTAAGTCCCTTCTCCCTCTCCCTCCCCTCACCCCCATCTC